GCGACAAAAGTTTGAGCACTAAAAAGCGCCGGTATAGATAGCACTTTATCGCCGGGAGCGCGGCTCCCAGTGATTCGGGGTGGTTCTTTTTTTATCGCCGGGAGAGCTTTCCCTCCAACGATAAAGCGTGACTACACTGCCCACGTCACAGCATTGCCACGGCCGTGCTGTAACGTGGGCAGTGTAGACATACCCTCAGAAGCTTGTCTCTTTCACCAATGGAAGTTGGTCTAATAAAAGATATTATCTCACCCACCTTGTCTCTATAATATCCTGGGAGCAGCACAGCTACAACTACACTGCAAACAATAGGTATTCTTACTGACTTTTAATAGAGTATTAGGCATCAGGAATGCAAGATATTCAGGTAATCATTGCACTAGTAATGCTATATAGTAAAATCTGTTCATCAAAATCAATTCTTGCAAAAATTTCCATGTTCCAGAATAAGGTTGTATCTGCGTTATTTGCTTTGAAATGCCTTCCCTTGTATCTGGATATATCCATAACATTTTTTGTATAAACCAAACATGCTTCTACTGTATTTATGGCTGAGAAAGCAATTGTAATCTTATAATTGCAGTGGTTTGTAAAACTATCCCTAAAATTATCGCTTGACCTGAAATTGCTTATTATTTGTTTTCAGCCCATCATTTAATCATATAGTTTGAGCTATAAGACATTTCAGCTATGCAATCTTAACTTTCAGTTAATGGGTTTTAGTTTTTAAATCATTGATATCAGCACAAGTCCTATTTCTCCATTCCCCCCTCTCCCCCCATCACCATCATAAGCCATGACTCCTGCAGAACCCCTGGAATGCCCCCTTAACTTCAAGAGGGTATCTGACATCCTCTGAGTCTGTGGAGGGTGGCTCCAAATGTATGAAATTTGAATCGAGGACTGTATTGTTGCATCCCTTCTTGCACCATGCAGTACTGAAACTTATACAAAGACTTGTACAAGGCTTTAGAGATGAACAGTCACTCCCTGCCACATGAATGTTCTGTGGTGGTGGTGTGTCCCTAACTCACTATATGCTGTTTGAGGGTACAGGCTAAAGGGGTCATATGGTCCAATACAATATATCTGACGGCTTGGAAAGCTCACTCTAGGAGACAAAGTGGTGTCTGTCCTAAGATTTTTTTCCCACCCGCAGTCCACATTGGGCAGGGAAGGGAGGAAAAGGAGGTAGCTTTCTCTACTGCAGTTATGGGAGTAGGGTCAAACTCCTTCCATCCTCAGACTAGCAATCTGGGCACATGGTGCTGTTCTCTCAGCAGAATTGAGCTAAAGAGCCATCAAAACAGAAACAGGATTTTCCTTTAAGTAGGAGATACCTAGTTGTGTGTCCTTTATTTCTTTCCCCTGCTACCTTTCCCTTCTTGTGCTGTGCTTGGGGTGACCAGATGTCCCGATTTTATAGGGACAGTCCCGATTTTTGGGTCTTTTTCTTATATAGGCTCCTATTACCCCCCCACTCTCTGTCCCGATTTTTCACACTTGCTGTCTGGTCACCCTAGCTATGTGACTGCACAGGTGGTGAAAGGAAAGAGGAGAGCACTCAGAATAGGCAGTAGTGCTGCCCAAGGGGAGGGAAACTGAGGCCTGGTCTATACTAGGAAATTAGGGTCGGAGTGCATGGGTTGAGAAAAATTAGATCCAACCCCTGGTGTTGGCAGTGTTACGTCGATGGGAGAATTCTACCACCTCTCATGGAGGTGAATACCTGCGCTGATGGGAGAACCCTTCCCGTCTGTGTATGCGGTGTCTTCACTGAAGCGTGCCACTGCAGCATTTTAACTGTGCATAAGCCCTGATTTATATGAACTATTACTTTTCCATCTCTGGCAGCTGTATTACTGTTACCCTTGGGGTGAACGCTTTTGCTGCTTTTCCCTCCAACTTCCACTCAAAGCCCTTCCAGGCTGGGGCCAACTTGGTGTACAAACAGCATACAAATCTGTTTAGATCTTGTGGTCCCAAATTTTGCAAAAGTAGATCCCTTTTAAGATAACTTGTAGAATTGTAACATGGTAAAGGAAAAAGTTTTTAAAAGTAAAACACCCCTCCAAAAACATTTTTCAATCAAAATGTTCAGCAAATCAGTAATGGTGCATTTCAAGTAAATACAATTTAAAACATCATATTTGTGAATCAACTTGTTTTCCTACTTTCTCACCAAATCTCGAGTTGGAGATTAACTGTTTTTAGGTGGTTGTGATATCAACTGTTGCAAATTAAACATCAAAACTTAAATTCTAGCCTTAGCTCATAAGAAGAATCTGAGTTTTCAAACAATTTCTTAAATACTGTTTTTAGGTTCACACAAATTCTGTTACTGATATAAAAGAATTTTTTTAAACCTCCACAGGTCACCTTTAAAAGACAGTTCTTGACTGTATAAATTGTATTTTTTTTTTCTGAATGGAAACTTAAATCTACCATAATTAATACAACAATCTAAATTCAAATTGCTTGTTTCTTGTCTACATTAATATAGTAATAAAAATGATTTAGTAGCTTACTTGGAGGTATTAGAAAGCAGATGCAGTTGAAGTCATTTTGTGTATTTTTGTTAGTCTGGGAATTAAAATTGAATCCAGTCTGCTTGGTTACCATGCAGGACTTCTGCCAGCCTAACCTGTTAGACCATCTGGTTGGTTTGATTCCCCTGGTCAAATAATCTGCAGCTGGTGATAAGCTGTGGTACAGTATGCATTATGAGTTTATGGCATGCAGTCAAGTTGATGTGTGAGCTATATTTTTGTTCAACAATTTAGAGTACATGTATTTGTCTGCTCCATTGTACTAAGTCCTCACAAATGTAGTTAATTGGTATATTTTCAACTTTGGTCTGAATCTTTTTTCCCCCTTCCACTGCAGTTCTCAAGGTGTCACAGTTAGTCTTAATGCTACATCTGGCATGGTTACATCATATGACTACTCTGAGAACGCTAATGATCATTCGATAGAACATGAGTCGGAATATGACCAAGGGGAGGACGAAATAGCTTATGACAAATCGGATGAACCTGAAGTATACTCTCAAGAGTACACAGGGGAAGGACAGTATGAAGGCAATGATGCTGAGCTGACAGAAGACCAAATAGAATATGTGGAAGAACAGGGAGAGGAAGAAATTTACAATGATGAAGTGCTAGACCTTGAAATCAATGAACCTCTAGATGAATTTCCAGTGAGTTTCTTTCTATTGTATCTCCAAAGATCACATTGCTTCACGTGCATCGGTTTTTAGACTGATTTGAAATCTGTTTACTTCCCTAGGGAGGGGGGGAAATTAGACCTATTATCACTGTCTGCCAGTTTCTTTATCTAGGCTGTGACAAAGTTTGGGTTGACAGCTTGTTTGGCGGTAGGTAATGCTCCTTTGTCATGCTGGAAGGCAGTTGAGAACCATGACCTTGAGGGTTGTATCCTTAAGGAAGAAAACAGCTTTGTGTGGTGGAGATACACTGCCAATTGTTAGAAGTACTTAATGCAAAAGCTTTTATCCAGGCTTTAGACAAGATCTGATAAAGTCCTTCCAAGGTGAAAAGATTATTGACCTGCTAAAGACATCTTTAAGGTGCTAATATTCCAAAGTGATTGATGTCCTGCTCATTCATCCTTTTTGTAACTGAGAACTGTCTAAATCTGAATAAAGAGATTGGAGTTAGTTCAGAAAATGTCACATGCATAATTTGATATCTTTTAAGCAGCATACAGAAGAGCATGTACTGATTTTAATTGCAAGTAAATATATTCCATAATCACAGTTTAAACTTCATGCATTTAGTAAGAAAAAAATCTGCTTAAAATATCAGCTGACATATTCATGAAAAGTTTTTTGCTTTCTTTTTTATTCATGTTTGTACAGCATCTAGCATAATAGATGCTTGATCCTTGTTTGGGCCTTCTAGACAACACTTACATACAAATGAATAATAGCTGTATACAATTAGTAGAATAACTTTTTAAAGAATAATGGAATATTTTATTTTTCCCTTTTTAAAATAAAGATGGCTATTGTCAATATAGTGCCATGGAGCAGATGGCACTTCAGACAAGCAAATATTCCAGATTTACCTCCAAAGAATTTAAAATCTAAGGGCCTGATCCTCATCCCACTGAAATTAATGGGATATTGGTTGTGGCATCAGCTGGATCACACCATATTAGTTATCTGTGTTGCTGTACAATGTTATTAATATAATATTGTCAGCATTAAAGCCACTACAACTGTCCTAAAAACCCTGCTAGATTAACTACCACGTGTAATAGAAAATCACAGTAATAGCCTGGATTTTGATGAAACCTGTTTTCAATTGCTGTAACCTATACATGTATAGTTCTGAACTTTTACACATGTGGCCCTTCCTTGTAACTTCCTTTTATAATTGTTTTAGGATGAAGATTATATACAGTCATATAATGAACAACAAGGGATGGAAGAACAGGAAGAATATGTAGCTGAAGAGGAATTGGAGGAGGTTGCTGATTCCCAAACACCTACAAATGAATCAGAAGAGGTATGTCGTGCACCTTACAGAAATCTTGAAACAGTTACTTATTGCAGTATTTATAATAATTTAGAATTGTTCAAATTGCTGGCTAAGAATTAATGCCAATTGGCTGCAAGCTGGCTAAATGCCAACAATTCTTGAAATCATCACTTTGTTTTTAGGATGTATGGTATGTTGCCGAAATGTTTTACTGTCCTTTGCTAGTTTTGCTAGCATCTGTGTTCATTTTTTTCTAATGAAAGTGTTGGATTTATTTTTTTTCCCCTGAAAACCCGAAGGCAACAGATAAGGGTGAAGGGCATATTTCCTTTAAGGTTTACACAACTGGAATTTTTAGGTGGGAGAATGATGATAATTCTGCACGGTATCTGTGATTTTATACATACAGTAGAACCTCAGAGTTACAAACATCAGAGTTATGAACTTAGTAATCAACCCCACACCTCATTTGGAACCAGAGGTATGCAATCGGGCAGCAGAGACCAAAAAAAGCCAGTACTGTTAGATGTAAACTACTAAAAAAAAAGGGGAAAGTGTAAAAAAAAAAAAAAAAAAAAAAAAAAAATTTTTTAAC